TAATTGGACTTTCTGTTTACCGGGCACAGGTTCGCCCAAATAAACAGTTAAATCGCAACAAGAAGTCTCCTGTCTTCGGCCACGTCACGACCCCGTGACAATATGCAAATGCCCTAATGAGAGCCATATGACGGTAAACACCATTGTTAGTTTTATTCTGTTGAGGTTAAGACGTTCTTTGTCAATATTTGTTTTTAGTTGCATGTCACCCTTTACAAACACTATGTAGGTGACACCCCTAAAAGCTGTGAAAATAGAGTACTCTCGCTCGCTGGATTCCGTGCCGACCGGTTGTGCCCTCGCGATCTCCGACGACAACGCAGCTCTGGCCGACTGAGTTGGTCCTACGCCACCTCCTGCCGCCGGTCCCCTACGACGACGTCAGCGCAGCTCTGGCGGACTGGATTAGCCCTACGCCATCTCCTGTCACCGACAAGAGCTCTCGCAAGTGGTGCCCTGTCCTCGGACTCCTGTGACCGTGTTTCCATCTTTCCTATCTCCCTTATGTCGTCGCTCGCTGTCCTTGCGCATCTTCCTCCCTTCCTCCCTCCCTCCCTCCCTCCCTCCCTCTCTCTACCTTTGATACTATCCTTTTAATTCCTCCTCACTCCTATCCCTTGTGAGCTACTGTTGAGGTGTCACACGCTGATGCAGACAGTTAAGGGGCTCACTTTTCTCTTCTTTTCCCTTTTATAACCACAATCTGAAAATAGATTATGATGTATCGTGAACTTAGGTTCCGAGGTCAGGCAATATAAAAGTAAGTCCACGAAAAATAGCACTAAAAATTTCGTGAGGACGCTCATGAGAAAATCGGAGTTCTGTGTATATTAGGTACCTCCAGTTTTTTTCCTAACGACTTTAATATTTGTTGTTATAATTTCCATTATTATAATGGAACACAATTTTGCTGTGTCTTTATATCGTACGCGAAAAGTTTGCTGCTCTCAGCGCTAAGCATGCTCACTTTATTTTACCTTTGACCACAACATCGCCTGAACACTAAACTCACGTGAAATGTAAACATGTAAGTAGTAGCAAAGACGCAGACAATAAAATATAAATAAATAATAGATGGAATAAAGGAGGATGTTACAAAAGATATGTTGCAGTTAATAAATCGAAAACAAACTATACAGCGGCGTAGGTAATGTGTGGGAGGCAAACGGAGCGCAGCAAAGAGAGAAATTGTGCCTACAATAAGTTATTCTAAAAATATTTTCTGCATAATTTAGTACGAACAGCAAAGACACACTACGCTGAAGTTTCATCTATTTGGTAAATTCTTGACCTATTGCAGCTAGCGCCGATACAGGTGGTAAGACAGTTGTTAGAATCTGACTTCGTAGTCTAAGTCAATAACATTGTGAGTAATTAGTGCTTACATCCACCAGATTTGTCAGACACCTGTGTGAAAGAAGCGAAACGCAAAGCAACCCCATCTCTGCCTTCTTGAGACTTTGTAACAAAATCTCACCAGGACAAACTTCTATAACGACAGTGTAGCCGCATCTGAATTTAACTGAAAGATTCCGCAAGCATTGGAATACGCAGGAGGGTACCGTGGCTACAAAGAAGGCTCATGGCACCGACAGAGCTAAGAAGAAAGAAACTTAGAAACAAAAAGTTCGTACACTTGTTTTTGTCGAAATGAATAGAGTGGATCCACGTGACTTTAGTCCACCAATACATACGCGTATAAAACTAATCGCATATGCTCACTTAAGCACTCTGGCACAAAAATAAAGGAATGCCGCTGTCACTAGATTTCTTGAGGTTGCTTAGAGTCTGCAGTATCAACTGGAGAAGCATATTCCAGCAGACGTTTAGTGTTTCGCATGGTGGCGTTTATAAGAGTATCATGTACCTTAAAATATTCGATACAATATTGAATGTATCAGAAATACAGATACAAATAGTCTCTTTGTGAGACATATCATGATACAGATAAAAGATACCCAAAGAATATCTAAAATAGTATCTAAGATACCTGCATCTTCGATACTGCCCAACCCAGGTGAGCACAAGAAAGCAACAGTTGTGTCAACAACTTTAAGCAGCAATTTTAAGGTTGTCATAAAAAAACTGCGCAGTCATGAAATCTTTAGAAGCGACCGGAGGTAGTGCATCTGTCTGATATACTTGTTTTCGCTGCTACGTTCAACACTTCTATCTTCATGAAAGATTAATTCGGCTGGAATTTCTGACTCTCGATGACGGGAAGGACTGACCACACATGCCGTGGTGGCAAGAAAAGCTGTTTATACGTGCTCATAAAATCGGAGTTCACTGATTTGAGCAACCGTGTGTAGCCCTCCTGTGTATCATCTTACGTGCACTCCGTGCTCACTTTCTCTCTTTCTATGTTGCCCATTTCCCACACCCCTCATTGCAGGTTATAAAATCGAGCGCTCAGCTTGATTTTTTTGCTGCATAATTTTTTGTATGTCTGTCAGTTAGTCTGAAGGAAAATTGACAATAAATGACCTTATTTGCAAATAAGCAATTTTATATATTCGCATATACTGTTTTTGCTAGAAATGGTTTGGACAAAGTTCTTGGGAAACTTGTTTCACACATATTTTGACATTGTGCGCGAGCAATGTTGTTTGGTGATTGGGCTGCACTTACTGAGAGGGTGCAAATGATAACGTCGACGACGGCTGAACAAGCAGTAGGAATTATTGACTTAAAGATGGTGTAGTAGCAGTGACAATTATCATATTACTATATACATCCCTAATTGGTTAAATATACACAACGTCCGGTGTTCCTCTATGCACGCCTATAGTCAGTCGATTTTATACCCTGGGAAAATTCCCCGTGGCGCGAGCGTTCAACCGTTCCCGCATGACGCTTGTGCAGGGAAGCAGGCGTTGAGGTGAAATTGGCTGAGCCTGTCGAACGTATCGCGTGGGCTGTGCTCATTGCAGTCGGCACCCCGGGCGGCGCGCAGCTTGAGAGGTGCTTGCACGTTGTTCTGAGTTCTAGGCCTTCCCTACCGCGAGTGCCTTCTCAGGACGGTGCTAAAACTCGGCCCCTTGCCCAAGCCCGCACTGGTGCGCTGCTGCTGGAGTCGAATTTATGATTGTGATTCCCCGCATGGCCTTTGCCTTTCTCGTCACGTATCACCATGCGCGCTGGTACGCAACGCTGAGAAACGAGCAGCCTTGGCGCGCAGCCCACGCTGTCGTATATCCAGACGTGGTAACGAGCCTTTCCCGCGCATAACAGATATTCACTTTTTTCCAACTCGCTCTGCCCGCGCGCGTCGACAGCTTTTCCAGACGCTGATTGCAGTCGAGGAGGGGAGTTGCGACGCGGCTTGGTTTCTGCCAGGTCGTTTCTTCAACTTTGTAGTTCAGCCATGCCGTGGAAGTTCACCGCGTTCGAGAATAAGCAACTGCCAGTGAATAGTTCCACGCGGGAGAGCGCGGGCGAGAGATAAAAAGCGGAGAACGTGCCCCTTCCCAAAAGTGTGCTGTAGGTTCTCATTTACATCTCTCAGTCGGCGCGAATTTGTTGCCTGCAACGTGCGCCGCCTGCCAGGGACAAACATGCTCAACTCCCCTCTCTCCTCGTGTGCCCTTACCTCAAGAAATAAAAGGCAAGCGATGAAAGCAAAAATGAAAGCCGGCTGTTGCTGGCAGCATGCACTAAGGAAGGTAGCAAGCGACGTTCGTCGTGTGGTAAAAAATGAAAGGATGCACGAGGAAAGAGGCTGGCAGGCATAATAAAGGAACCAGGGCGAGAATAGGCTGACGGCGGGACGTGGGTGCCGTAATAAGCGAAACCTATATTTTCCGCTGCAACGCGACACCTCTGGCTGCCTGTCGCGTCGTTTCGGTGCTGCCTGTAGTCACCCAAAGCGCTAAGCAGTCGGCTTTCCCGACTGTGCCCACCGCTCGCAGGGCGAACACTGCAGCGTCGTTGCTGTGCCGTTCGCCGGCCCTGCAAGGCGCACCGTTGTGCGCTGCTCAATTCGGTCGCAGCTAGGAAAGCGGGCAGGCTTCCGCGTCACGTCCTGCTGGAAGGCCATCGCTGATGGCGGAGGAAGCCGGATGGATGTCGTGTTGAGCTCTCTTCGGCCGACGTCTTAAGTGCCCGGCTACGAATATTGCTTTGAAAGCAGTTCTCGCGGGCGCCCAACTTTACTTTGTTCTTGGTGCTTTCAGCCCGAGATCCGAGCTGAGAGCTCTGACGGGACAGAAGTAGCCGGAAAAGGTAGAGAGAAAACAATGGTCGCTCACGAGACGAGGAATAACCAGGAAAAAAAACAGCCTTGTCGAAATATCCCTGTTGTGTGCCAGTTGTGTGTTCTCTCATTCACCGTTTTGCGGGGCGCGCATTGTGTCCACCATCGATATATTGATCTGTTGCGTAATCAAAGAAGGGCTGGTAATTCTGTATCCCGCCAGTGAACAGTAAAGGATGCTCTTGGGCACAGAAATGGCCTCTGTGGTGAGGAAGGCATTTCAAGCGCGATTCCGTGCTTTGGAATTCCGTTGCCGTTGGGGGGCACAAACTTCTTTCTTGACCACCGACATCCAGTACGCTAAAGAATTACGGGTGTGATTGTTTCATCAACACTTCCGTGGCATTTCACGTATATTTCGGGCTGATTTCGCCACATTGCACATGATTAGGATTTTCGAAACGAAATGCTATAGTGTATCATTGCATAAATTTTCCAGATAGGCGTATTAAACAACTGCCTTTTTAGGAGGTACGGGGCTTAATCGGTGTTTAGGCCTTTTACCTTGTAACATTACATACTACGTGTTACCGCACGTAGGACGAAGCGTTTGGATAAAAAATATTCATACAAAATGTATAAATTGTTCGTCAGTACTGATACCGTACGCTGGCTAAAAGGGGAATTGCAAAATCAAGCGACTTTCTTGTGTGAAATTGCCACTTTTTACTGGAACGCGATGCCACTTTGATTTTTGTGGCCATGTTTCTGATCTCCCCGATTTTTTTCTTTAAACAACGTTCAGTGAAGCCCGTCCGCGCGGTGATCCGAGGCAAGCAGGACTTCCTGTCAGCTGAGTTCCGCGCCGAGGTGGAGTGCGAGGCCGAAGGATCGCTGCCACCGGCGCTCATCTCGTGGTGGCTAGACGGCGTGCGCCTGAACACGTCACTGGCCCAAACTCGCCTGTCCGCCGGCGGCAACGTCACTACTTCGCTGCTTGGCTTCGTGCCGAGGGCGAGGGACAATGGACGCCAGCTCAGGTGCGTCGCCACCAACCCCAAGATGCCCGGACATGATCAAGTGGCCGACAACTGGGTACTACAGGTGCACTGTGAGTAGCATTTCACTGTTAACGTTTCCTGATTCAACTCACAAGAGTCGTCATATTCAGTGTATGATATTATCGCATAAAATGAACGCTATCGCTACCTAGCAAAGCTGCCTTCTGCGTAAGGGTATACACTTGGTGAAGCTACTACTCAAAAGCTGTATGATCTTAAGACCTTCCACTCGGGCATGATACAAACACTGATTTCTCGGCGTTTCGCGAGGTCGCTCATTTATAAAATAACGAATGTGGTTAATAACACTAGTTAGATTATAAAAGAGAAATGTTTTGGAAGTTCCGTGTGGTTTATTGCCGTCTTACTCCAATATCAAATGCTCACTCCATATACTTCAAATCCGTCACTGTTAGGTGGGACGCCTTGCATGATATTTGATATATAGCGAATGGAACTGACGATAGGTAAACTACCTCCAGACAGTGAGCAACTATGTCAAATAAGCAAGGTAAAAATGTGACATAATACTACTTACTAGTTGCTTTTAAAGGTCTGAGATCTTCTAAGCGTGTTCGCATCTGTAATTTTGACAGTGCCTTCGTGTGCAAGACTACCTACAATGTAGCTCTAAAAGCTATATAAAAATTGAAGTCAGAAAACCCATGCTTGAGCAACATATTTTGCAGCATTTTCAGCCTTTTAATATTAAAGAAAGAAAAACAACAATTTTTGTCCTTGCTGGGGTCAAGGATGCCGCGAGACTGGCCATACCGGAGCGTCCCTTTCACAGGCGATGGCCAAACATTGAGCCTTGGTGGCGTCTTCTCCCAGTTGGACTGCACAGAGTTGGTCATCTGGGCATTGACGTAGTAGCATAGCCACCCACTGCTCTGGCGTGATTATCCTAAATGTAGGACTGGTGCTGCATTTCATGATTTGTATCGCTGCAGGACATGCCCAGATATTGTGGTTGAGGTTGGTGCAAGCCGCCCTGCAAGCTTTGTATTGTGATGTGTAAATGCCTGGGTATACGCAACTATACAGCGTAGGTGTGGGGATCCTTCGTGCTTCTAACAATCGCCATCTTGTTTACTGCTGCCTATTTAGCGACTTGTAAGGAATGCGTGCTTCATTGTAGCGCTACGGTAACACTAAGAATTTCACCACACGAGACCATTCTGCCTTTCGCGTGGTCGCACCAAGACTCGACTCATCCTCAGCCTGCTTGGCTCGTTGGCGTGGTAGTTGCTCTGGTGACGGGTGACGTGTCCGGTGGATGATTTCTCGGGTAGCGTCGTGAGCGGTTTTGTTCTCAGATAGGCTCGAGTCACCTGGAGCCTCGATTTAATGAACTTCGCAATGACGAGATGGGGATGTGCTTTCGAGTATTCGGTTCGCTTGTGGTGTCTTAAAGAGGGCTCATGGCGAAACTTGCCGGTGCTTCTGGCGCAAATAACACAATTCAGTCTGTTCACACTAAATTTATGAAGGAATGAATATTGTTCACAGGACAAATCGTGGTGTTTTCCTGCCTGATTGACATTTGTTCATTCATTTCCGAACACTTCTTGCAAATTGAATGCTTCAAGGCTAGCAGAAAGAAGGACACGGAGAACCATTACTGGAGATCATGTCGCATTTGATTGAGTAGAAAGAATAAAATTTAAGTCCCCAACCACGGTGACGTTGCGACATGTTTGTGAGTGATATAGTACACACATTCCTTATACTTCTCTCTTTCTCCTCTTACTATATTCCCCGATTCCACTCCTGATGTGTGGGGTGATAAACAAGGCAGAGTCAAAATATTCTCACGGATTTTCCTCCTCCTCTTCTGTGAGGATCTGTTTAGAACTGAACTTTATCGCTGATACAGCTGAAGAGATGGTTTTGGGAAATTCAACTGAAAGGCTAACCTAAATTTTTGTTCAGCAAAAATTTCATCGTAATGCTACATCTAGCCTTACGCAGAACATTAAGAGAACATGAATGTTTAAGCAACAATAAAGAAATCACAACTAATTGAACTGCCTCCGGAACATTGTCATGTCGAAAAGAAGGAATGTTCACCTGAATGTTCACCTGACTCAGAAATTCACCGGTGAAGGCTAACCAGCGCTACCCTTCACGGGACTAGTGAAAATGTCCATTGCAACAAAAAAAAAGGAAAAAAAGCAGAAAAACTAATGAAGACGAAAAAAAAAAAAAAAAACCAAAAAGAAACAATCGAAAGAGGAATGCCATGCACAGAACGGATTCGCTCGCAGGATTTCAAGCTGGACGGTTGTGCCCTCGCGATCTCCGACTTCAGCGTAGCTCCCGCCGACTGGTTCGCCCTCCGCGGTCTCCTGACGCCGTGTAGCTCTCGCATTGTGGCACCCCGCCCTTGGACTGCTTCGACCGGATCCCCACTTTCCTATCTCCTTCTTTTTCCTCTCGTTGGCTGTCTTCTTCTGCTTCTACTTTCCTTCTATCCTTTTTATCCCTCCTTCAGCCCACCCCTATAAGGCACTGCGCCGTGTCGCCTGAAGGCAGACAGAAATTAGGTGCCTTTTTCCTCTTCATTGTAACCACTACCACCACCACCACAGAACGAATTATGCGCATACTCAGGATGTAGAACAACATCTGAGTTACGAGTACACATTGAACAGAAAATCTGCGTAAAAAAATCTCGCGCAATAACTATAGAAAAATATAGATGGTGCCACATGCACGCACCTAGAGCTGCCTTTACCGTAAAACAAAAGTTTGTTCATTGTTGCACTTGGTGCGGGTTTGCTAATTAGCCAATGAGAGAAGGACGACACACAGGTGTGAGACACGTGTAAATAAGAAATTGCGCAAGTGGAGTATAGGAGAGTTTTACTCTAACAGTGTGTCCTGTCTTTACAACAGTAAAACAAAAATAACTATTCTCTGTAGTGTGTTGTGTCTGTCATGTGAGCAAATCTGAAGAGTGTTGTCAAGCTAACATGGTTTCATATTACACTGTCTACAACGTTTCCGAATAATGTAAAAGCGAAATAACGAAATACCTATTATGAGCGTTCTTCATAAACTCTAAGTCGCCGCGACGCAGTGGTCTAGTGGCAAAGGTACTCGGCTGCTGACCCGCAGGTCGCGGGATCGAATCCCGGCTGCGGCGGTTGCATTTCCAATGAAGGCGGAAATGTTGTAGGCCTGTGTGCTCAGATTTGTGTGAACGTTAAAGAACCCAGGTGGTTGAAATTTCCGGAGCCCTCCACTGCGGCGTCTCTCATAATGATGTGGTGGTTTTTGGACGTTAAACCCCACATATCTATCATAAACTTGAAGTCGCTATGATTGCTTATAACAACGGCATACGTGAACTTTTCATCTCGCAGCAACAGCATTAATGCTAGTTTTTGCGAGTGAACAGTGCACACACCGCGCCAGGGAATGACGTGGAATGCAGCTCCCAAATAACAATAAAAATATTCTACATTGATGTGAGTGCTTCAACTTGATTTAAGCGAACCGTAATGTGGACCTATTTCGCATTCCCTATGCAAGCTCAGGATACTTCAGTAAAAAACCGCATTCTTCAAAGGCTTTGCGCCACAAATTCGACAACTAATGCAGCCGATGCATGCAAACTTCTCGGATGAAAACGGCATGATGCTCTGGCGAATGGCAGACAATTCTAGTAATGCCTTCTCAGTGGATATCGAGCTGCTGAATTATGCAGGGTTTTCATGCAAGTCGCTCGCTGAGGGGAACAAAAACTAGGATACGTCTGCTGAAGAAGAGTCTATGAGCGCAGTTAGGTTTATACTTAATTCATACCACAGAAAAAGAAAGCTTTGCCCGAAATAGCAAGGCAACTTAACCTTATGACCGTGGAGCTGAAAAAGTAAGTAGTCTCTTACAATTATTTGGAAGCCCATGGCTCTGTCCGCTCATAAGTGGAAAAAGGGGGTGAGGGAGTGAATAAAATTTACACCTGCAGCCATTTTTCATTACGCCTCTTGTTAAGTTTCCAAACTGAGAACAGGCTTGACTTTTCTGCTGAAAGGGAGCTGCTAAGAATATTTTATATTATTCCAAATAAGTAACCTCTGTGCGTGCTACGTCTACAGTAATGCAGACAGAAGTAGCAAATACTGGTAAATAATGGTGTACTAAAATAGAAAAGCGTTCCAATAATAATAATAATAATAATAATAATAATAATAATAATAATAATAATAATAATAATATAATAATAATAATAATAATAATAATAATAATAATAATAATAATAATAATAATACTAATACTAATAATAATAATAATAATAATAATAATAATCAAAATATCAATTATTTAACGTGGCCTGAAACAACTAAAACGTTTTAGTGCAGGCGCATGCAAAATAAAACAATAAAAATAAACAATATAGTACAGTCGGTCTTCACAAAAATAAATAAAATGAATAGAGTGAAAAGGCACAAACAAAAAGAAATGAGCGAAAGAAGAGAACAATGCAAAGACAACAGAATCAAGTATTGAACGTGAAAAATAAAAGGGAATATACAAAACTATGTAGAATCCTTCCTCGTAGTGTTGGCACAAAATACAGAGGTATTTGTCATGGCACAAGATTTACATAAATTGATGTATTATGCAGATAGCTGTTCAGGATATTCACAACGGCCTAGTTAACATCAAAGTTTGCAAGTTCAACAAAAAACAGTGAGTGGCTGACTACGTCAAAAGCCTTGCTGAGGTCACAGTAGACTACATCAACCTGTCCTTTCCCAGGAATAGGTGCGAAGATTTACGTAATGAAACTAGGAAGATTTGTGGTAGTTTAGTGGCCAGGAAGAAACCCGATTTGTTTAGGAATAAATTAATTATTCAGGCTAACATAGAACACGTTGTGAAGAGCCACTTCGAAGATTTTTGATGTCGCACACAGTAGAGAAATTGTGTGATAGTAAAAAAAAACATCTGTTTTGGAGTCTGATTTAGGACTGAAAGAGCACGGGCAGTTTTTCACATGCTTGGAAATTCTAAAGTGTTCAGGCAGTTAATTAAATAT